AGCTAAAGGACCACCTTTCAACATTCAACCTCGAGGTAAAAAGACATTAAAAAGACATTAAAATGACTTCTATTTCTTTACTTCAAGCTCCAGCAAAAGGCGACTTTGAAGTAAAGGACACTAAAAAACCATAAAATTACTTCTACTACTTTACTTCAAAAAAAAGCAGAGAAACTGCATGTTTGCCTAGCCTCTATATCTGTTTCTACCACACTAGCCATCTGAAACTGTCTAAATTGTTATTAACGTGTTTGTTAAATTTGTTATTAAGGGCAAAAAGCAGCTACCAAGGATGGATGGACAAAGGCTGATAATTAACTGCATTCCAGAAACCACAGACAGCTTAAACTGGTTGCTTGCAAAGGATGCTAAGTTTCAAGCTGCGTTAGCATATTGTAATGATAACTTGTTTTATATACTGTGTTAGCATATATGCATGGTAACTACTCTGTGTATCTTTAAGTTTACTGACTTTTGATTTTTCTGAACAAGGCTCACTTGTTCAACAAGCTGTTGTCAAGGAGCACACTGCACGCCAAACGTATTTCAAAACAGTAAAAAAGGGGGAGGAAGGGTTATAGGTCTCCTCTAGGTGTGTAAACTTACATTAACTTTTCTTCAAAACAGAAAAATCACAAAGAAATAATAATTGATAAAACAGAACCAAAGTAATGCAGAGTTTGGAAACACAGTTATGTTTACCATTTGATAATGATGTTTACATTTCAGGTTTACAATTGAAAATGACCAGTGAGGCAAAATGTGAGTGTATAAAGCACCTTAAATACCAAATGCCTTACAAAGGTATCACAACCTCAGCCACATGGTCACACTGGAGAAATTCACTTTACGGCATTTAATCTGCTTTTGAAACAAAGTTGATTTTTCCCATTTACATAAACCCTGAGAAAAATAAAGGTTGCAATTTTATAGGTACTACGCTGTTGGGCCAAGGGCCTTAGATTAATAAAGCTGTTTTTCCAGGTTACACAATACCCTTTAGGAAAATAAAGGTTTAAGGTAATGCCAAACAGGTCTAAAAGGTTAAAGAGAACACTTCCAATAGACAAGTAAGCTGTTAAGGAACCAAAGTGAGTGGTGTGCTGGGTCACTGCGATGCAATAGTAATTGTTTAAGATATTGTTCTCTTATTTGCACTGTTGTTGTTGCACTGTTTTTCTGTCTCGCCTTAAGTAATTGGATTGGGGGAGATGGGCACATGGGCAGTGTATGTCCTGCTGTCATTGACCAGGTGAGTCACATGCCCCCCAGAGGGTATATAAAGGGGGCATTTTCCTTTAAATAAAGATATTTGGCTACTTGACAACCAAGCTGCTGGGTCTTGTCTTATTATATTACATTAATAAGCCACAGGACACCTGTGACTGGCAGGACCAGGACACAGGTCCCACTTCTCAAAGGGAGCATCTGCAGAGTTGCTCCATCACTCCCACAACAAACACCCTGCACCAACAGGCACTGACAGGCTCTGTGTCCCCACTCCACTGCCAGGCACGAGCATCCCCAGGGACACACACACTGGTCAGCCCCAGCATCCCCAGCTGCTTCTCCTCACACCAAGCCACCTTTGCCACCCCCACAGCCAGCAGGCACAGCACAGCCTCCATGCCAAGGACACGCACACACGGCCCAGCCCTGCAATGCCAAACTGCTCATCTTTATTCAAGCTGGGAAAAGCAGCCTCTGCCCCACAGACCCCACGGTTGGGATGAGATGTCTCCAGCCCAGCAGCACCCAGCAGGAGCAGCTGCCACTGCTGCTGTGCCAGCAGCTGGGCATGGCAGAGGCAGGGAGGGGAGAGGACATCGGGAGATGGTTCCAGGCGCCAGAAGCGAGGGGAACGTCCTGCTGGGACATTTCAGTATCTGTCTCTGTACAAAGAAAGCAGAGAAGCACGTCAGCTCTTGTAACTTTTCCTCCCACTCTCTCCCACCTCCCCCGCAAGGACCATCCAGTCTGTGGTGCAGGAGACTCAGGCTCAGCACAGGTGAGCTCCAGTTCTTTTGTGCAGACAGTTTGGACCTGGGTTATCTCAGTGGTGACAGCCCTCATTCCAAGTCTGTGCACATGCAGCAAAACCTGGATCATGTCCTGGGTGCTGCCCAAGGACAGCAAATGTTTCACTCTTTAGCGGTTTTGGTGAGTCCTCTGCAAAGCCTGAATGAGCCTCCTGGCACTGGAGGAGAGTTGGGAGGCACTGGCTGACCTGGGGCTCCTGCAGCCCCACTCTGGTCTGGTCCAAACCCATGAGGGCTTTTGCCTTCATTCTTGGGCCTCTCCCACAGACCATAAATGCAGGAGATTATTTATCAAGCATTAGCTAGAAAGAAATTTCTAACAGATCTTTCTGTGGAAAAAGGAGGAAAATCTTTTTTCAGCCAGGGTTCTTGTCCTTACCTTTTGCAGCACAAAGTGTCTTTTGAGCAGAATCCAATTGGTATTGTAGGGAAGGGGCAACGTTCAGGACTGCAGAATCCCCCTCGCCGTCTGCATTTATTTGGATCTCCTGTTTCCATGGGCAAAGACACACAGAGAACAATTCCAGTGACAATCTGGGAGAGCTGTGTGTTGTGCAGCACAGCTGAAACTTCCCGTGAATTTCAGGCCAACAGATGGGCTCAGCTCAAAACTCCCTACAGACACATCTTCCATTGCAAGGAGGACTTTTCCCCCCTATATTGGGTGCACACAAGAGCAGAGAGTGGGAAGGACCAGCATGAGGTCAAGGAAGAGCCTTGCTGGCCCCCCAGCTGCATTGCCAACACTGCCTGCCCCAGCACAGCTGGAAAGCAGGGGACTCCTCCCATGCCACATGCCTGTCCTGGCTGTGCCATGATTGGTGTGACCTCTGAGGGAAAGTCCTTGCCCAGCCCTTGCAGGGATCATGCCTTGGGGTAATGAGGTTTTGGGACACTCAGTTGATGCAGCACTAGATGAGAAAGGACAGCTCTGTGTCCCATGGAGACCCACCAATCTAAACAGTCCTGGGGCTCTTTCCCACCACTGTATGGGGCAAGAGAGCATGCAGAGACACTGACAAAGGAACATCTGGGTGCAGAGCTGGAGCTTGAAACCCAACCCCTTCTTTACCCACAGAAGAAGCCAGGCTTGTATTTCCAGGGGCTACACACACCCCAAGTCTGTGTCTGTTAGAAATTCACTTGAAAAATTCCATTTCCCTCAATCGTCCCTAACATTTTATGCTTCCAAGGAACTTGGTTACTTCCCAGGACATGGAAAATTCCAGTTATGAGGGCCAAGACCTTCCTCCAAATCCCCTCTTTCCCTCTCACCTGCAGCAACCTGGACCAGCAGGAGGAGCAAGGGGAAGAGCAGGTACAGGATCTTCATGGCTGATCCACCACTCCCACGTCTTCACAGGGCTGCAAAGGGCACACCAAGGCAATGAGGACATGGAGGACCCCAGGGGGTGCAGAAGCCTGGGCACTGGGGTTCCCCAAACTGCAGAGAGGCTGCCTCCAAACACAGCACATGATCTTTCCTCTACCTTTCTCTTAAGAACCATTACGAGGTCTGTGACACCCTGAACATCTTGGGAGTGTTTCCTCATGTCTCAGTCTCTGGGAAATCCATTATCTAAGATGATCCTTTTCCAATAACTTTCTCTAAAATCTTCCACACACATTCCCCAGAGAACAGACTGCACACCTGACTCCAGTTGTTACCCATTTGCCCACAAAGAGTATCTCGGGTCCCTGCTGCAGCATCAAGGCACATTTCCAGTCTATCCTCTCCTTAGGAATGCTTAGATACACCTCCCACATGTTCTCAGCTCTTAGACTGATATGAAGGCTTTTATTCTCTTTCCCAGACATCTCTGATGGTCTAAGAGCACGTCTGGATACTTCCAGCTGTTTGCCCTCTGGTGAGTCTGTGGAGATGGGCTCTGAGCTGAGAATCTGAATGGGCAGCTTTCCAGAAAGAGACCCCACAGTCACCTACCTGATGAAGGTCTTGGTGTTCAGGCAGCAGCAAATCCAACAGCAATCGTTCGGCTTCAGATGGCCTTGGGATCAGGGAATGCTGCTTTGCCTAAAACACCCATGTTTTATACTCCTCCTGGTGGGTGGGACATGCCCTTACTGCTGTTGACACAACTGCCCTTGGCCAACCAGGCAGTGCCCCATCAGTGTAGAGGTGCTGGGGCTGCCCCTCATCCCTCCCTGCTGCAGTGGCAGAGGCTGAGGGGCCTCCTGGGGCTGTTGCAATGTCACCATTATCCTCCTCCAACACATCCTGTGACACAAGGGCTGGGCAGGAGCTGCCTGGAGTTAGGGAACAGCTTTGCTCTGCAGAGGTGAAGGGTGCTCGTGGTGACTGCTCAGGGTCAGTGTCAGGAGAGGAGAGCACAGGGAGAGGAAAGGCCGCAACAGAAAGGGCTGATCTGAATATCCCTCACTAAACTCTCCATTTCTGGAAAGCAATGGCAGTGGAAAGTTTTTTCAGATTGGTCCCTTCTCCCAGGGTACAAGTGACAGGAGCAGAGAAAATGGCCTCAAATTGCACCAGGGTGGTTTAGTTCAGGCATTAGAACAATTTCTTCACCAAAAGTGTGGTCAGGAACTGGTACAGCTGTCCAGGATATTCTGCAGTCCCCATCCCTAGAAGGATTCATAACCATGTAGGTATGGAACTGGGGACATGATTTAGTGGTGCCGTGGTTGTAAGGGACAAGGGACACCTGTGACTGGCAGGACCAGGACACAGGTCCTACTTCTCAAAGGGACATCTGCAGAGTTGCTCCATCACTCCTACAACAAACATCCTGCACCAACAGGCACTGACAGGCTCTGTGTCCCCACTCCACTGCCAGGCACGAGCATCCCCAGGGACACACACACTGGTCAGCCCCAACATCCCCAGCTGCTTCTCCTCACACCAAGCCACCTTTGCCACCCCCACAGCCAGCAGGCACAGCACAGCCTCCATGCCAAGGACACGCACACACGGCCCAGCCCTGCAATGCCAAACTGCTCATCTTTATTCAAGCTGGGAAAAGCAGCCTCTGCCCCACAGACCCCACGGCTGGCATGAGATGTCTCCAGCCCAGCAGCACCCAGCAGGAGCAGCTGCCACTGCTGCTGTGCCAGCAGCTGGGCATGGCAGAGGCAGGGAGGGGAGAGGACCTCAGGAGATGGTTCCAGGAGCCAGAAGCAAGGGGGACGTCCTGCTTGGACATTTCAGGGTCTCAACCCCAGGTGCTGTACAAAGAAAGCAGAGAAGCACGTCAGCTCTTGTAACTTTCCCTCCCACTCTCTCCCACCTTCCCCACAAGGACCATCCAGTCTGTGGTGCAGGAGATTCAGACTAAGCACAGGTGAGGTCCAGTCCTTTGTGCAGACAGTTTGGACCTGGGTTATCTCAGTGGTGACAGCCCTGACTCCAACTCTGTGCAGATGCAGCAAAACCTGGATCATGTTCTGGGTGCTGCCCAAGGACAGTAAATACTTCACTCTTTGTTGGCTTGGTTGAGTCCTCTGCAAAGCCTGAATGAGCCTCCTGGCACTGGAGGAGAGTGGGGAGGCACTGGTTGACCTGGGGCTCCTGCAGCCCCACTCAGGGATGGGCCAAACCCAAAAGGGCTTTTACCTTCTTTCTTGTGCCTCTCCCACAAACCATAAATGCAGGAGAGTATTTAGCAGGCATTAGCTTGAGATGACTTTGTAACAAATCTTTCTCTGAAAAAAAGAGAACTATCTTTGTGAACCAGGGATCTCTTACTTACCTTTTGCAACATACTCTAAATGTTGAGCATCTTCCAATTGGTTTGGTACCGTAGGGGCATTTCCCAAATCTGCAGTCTCCCCCATTTATTTTGCATCTGAATTTGCTTCCTGTTTCCATGGGGCAAGACACACAGAACAATTAAATCAACAGTCTGGGAGAGCTGTGTATGTTTGCAGAAAGGCTGATACTCCCTGTGCATCTCAGGCCAATAGTTGTGCTCAGCTCCAACCTCCCATCAGATACAGCTTCAAGACCAACATGTCTCACCTAGAAGGACTCTTTCCCCCTAAATTGGTGCACACAAGAGCAGAGAGTGGGGAGGACCAGCATGAGGTCGAGGAAGAGCCTTGCTGGCCCCCCAGCTGCATTGCCAACACTGCCTGCCCCAGCACAGCTGGAAAGCAGGGGACTCCTCCCATGCCACATGCCTGTCCTGGCTGTGCCATGATTG